TGCGCCTGCCGTACAGCATGGCGGCACCCAGCTGAGCCCCCTCACCTGCGCCTGCCGTACAGCATGGCGGCACCCAGCTGAGCCCCCCCACCTGTGCCTGCCGTACAGCATGGCGGCGCCCGGCTGAGCCCCCCCACCTGCGCCTGCCGTACAGCATGGCGGCCCCCAGCCAAGCCCTGCGCATGCCCCCGCGACCGGCGTGGATGAGGATGAAGCCGAGGGATGAGGATGAGGAGGGTGAGGTTTAGTGACCCCACCTGCAGCTCTCGGGGCACAGAACATCCCAACTCGGCTTTTCTCACTGCTCCCGTTGTTCCCTGCCTGCCATTGTGTTCTCCAAGCTGATACCCCTCTGAGGAGTTATGGACAACTGGTGGGATGAGGTCTGTCCGGCTGGAAGCACCCTGGAGATGTACAGATGTGGGCTTGAAAGCACAGGGGTCAATGCTAACACTGTGAATCATTGTGTCCTGCCAAGCACAGCGGGGTGCCCTCATTTCCCCCACACACACACCCCCGAGTGCTGGGAGCACCTCAATCATGTCGCCCACTCCCAAATAATTCTGTCTGCCAGTTAAAGCAGAAATGCTCCAAAAGAGGAAGATTTGGCTGCTCTGACCAAATCACTGCATCCTTTTAAAAACATAATGTGGAAAAGAGTTGTGGTTCAGCTTCTCTTTACAGGGAAAGTCTGACAAGTATCACTGGTTGCAGTGGAGTCATTGCCAGGGATTCACATCCCAAAAGGCGGGGAAAGGATCCACATCCTTCCCTCAGCTCTTCCTGTGATCAGTCCTCTCTGAGCCAAGGTGATTGCCCATTTGAGCAGGGTCAGACTTGCCTGTGGGTCAGGCTGGACCAGGGTGATGACTCCCAATGCAGTGACCTCAATGGCAGCTCTGTCACCATTACAGCCCTTAGACATCTCAGGCTGGAGCCCTGAGATCCCTGCTAAGGTTCTGGCCGCAGCTGCTCTGCTTATCTCAGTGAAAACACTGAGTGTTTTCAGCTACGTGGCTGCTGTGCCACTCACCAGGCAGCCAACAAACTCAGCAGGGCCTGGGCCAGTGGGGATTGATAACAAGTGTTTTCAGGATTTTCCTTTGCTTGTCCTCTCCCGATTTACCTGCTGCCTTTGGGATGTTCTCCATATGTGCTGTATCTGTTTAATTTACGTTTTAATGCGATGTATTAAGAAAGCAAGTCCTAAAGGGCCCAGTGTTAGAGGACCCCCATAATGCTGCTGTTTCCTCCCCACTAGTAATGACTTTCCTTTCTTTTTCCTTTTTTTTCCCTTTCCAAGCAATGTTACCAGACTGCTCAGCAGCATTCCCAGCCAAGGCACCAGAAAACCTGGTTCTTTGGCCTTGGGGTTCTTGTGCTTGATGTCAGGGAGTCTGTGCTGCATCGAACGACAGTAAATCCCTAATCCCACAGCCGCTGGACTGAGACATTCCACACAGGCCTCCAGGGAGGTTCAGAAAGGAAGGTGGATGAGCTGTGCTAGCGTAGGCTGTTGGCATAATACAATCCCTGGATGCAAAGTTTTCTGCAAGAGGTGGGTTTTACCCCCATTTAGGTTGGAAAAGCCATCTAAGACCATCGAGTCCAACCATGCCCCCAGCACTGCCAAACCACCACTAACCCATGTCCCCAGGTGCCACATCCACATGACTTTTAAACCTTTCCAGGGATGGGGACTCCACCCCTGCCCTGGGCAACCTCTGCCAGGGCTGGACAGCCCGTTCAAGGAAGAAGTTTTTGGTCATATTCAACTTACACCTCCCCTAGTGCAACTTGAGGTCATTTTCTCTTGTCCTGTCCCTTGTTCCCTAGAAGCAGAACCTGACCCCCTCTGGCTTCACCCTGCTGTCAGGGAGTTGCAGAGAGCGAGAAGGTCCCCCTGAGCCTCCTTTTCTCCAGGCTGAGCCCCTCCAGCTCCCTCAGCCACTCGTGGTGCTTCAGAGCCTTCCGCAGCTCTGTTCCCTCCTCTGGACACGCTCCAGCCCCTCAATGTCCTTCTCGTCATGAGGGGCCCAGAACTGACCCAGAACTGACCCCAGGACTCGAGGTGTGACCTCAGCAGTGCCCAGTACAGGGGGGTGATCACTACCCTGGCCTGTGTCCACACTGTGGCAGGTACAAGTCAGGTGCCAGTGCCCCCCCCGGGGCCACATCCAGCCCCTGGTGACCGGCGCCCCCCGAGTTCCCCGCCCCGCCCCAACGCAGAAACGAAAGCGAAAGCGCACAGACCGCTCGGCCCGCAGCGCGCAGGCGCGCAGATGGCTCGCACAACCTCGGCTCTCCCGCTCTGCCCGGAGACTGATGACGCGACGTGCGCTCCGCGCTTCGATTGGCCGCGGGTTTCCGAGGGTATAAAAGGCGGCGCGCGAGCAGTGCGGGACAGTCGGTGCCGCGGGGAGAAACTCTGCGATGGAGCGGAGCGTCCTGGGGTTCGCGGTCCTGCTGCTGTTGGCCCTGCTCGGCCCGGGGGACGCTACCGATCGTGAGTGCCGGGGACGGCGTGAAGGGTCCTGCGAGGGGCAGGGAGGGCGAGGGGCTGGGGAGCCCAGGTCTCGGGGAGTCCGGTCACCGTGTAGGGGTGGGTGGGTGCATCGACGCGATGCCCAGCATAGCCCCCCTTCTCACACCGCCCTCGCCCCCCTCTCCAGAGCCGCCGAAGGTCGAAGTCTACGCCCGTACACGAGCCAAGGAGGGACAGGAGAACACCCTCCACTGCTTCATCACTGGATTTCACCCACCCAAGATCGAGGTGGAACTCCTGAAGAACGGCGAGCCCATGACCGGCGTCCAGTATGGGGACTTGTCCTTCAACGAGAAGTGGCAGTTCCAGCGCCTGGTCTACGCGCCCTTCACCCCTACCAGGGATGACATCTTTGTTTGCAAGGTGCACCATTCCACCATGCCGGAGCCGATGATCTACCGATGGGGTATGCTCTGCCCTGCCTTCTTCCTCCCGCTTCCGTTTGTGTGCCGGAGCTCGTTAGTTTATATCCATGGTGTCTCTCTTCTTCTTTCTGGGAAGCAGGGTGTTATAGCAGGGTGGGTTTTGAAGTTCTTGTGTTAGAGATGGAAAGTTAACTCGGTTTCAGCTGTAAAGGCTGTTATACATATACATGAAGGATTCAGGGTGGGAGTGCCTTGGTGTTGTCCGTAGGGATTTGGTGGTGCTGTGTTGTCCAGTATCAGTGAAGTCACCTAGAAGATGAATCACACAGTGATTTGGGCTTTACCTTCGGAATATAAAGGACACAGCGGTGGGAACTGTGGTGGTGACCCAGCCGAGGGCAGATCTCTGGTTCCACCCAGTAGGGGTGGGCTCGTGGGTACTCGGGAGGCGGTGCCATTTGCTCCAAAGCCTAACGCTCCACCCTTCTTCCCTGCAGAACCAGACTTCTGAGCTGTGTCTGGGGTAATCCATGGTGAGTTATGCTGATGCTGCTTTCTGTGCTGGTAAGGGGAATGTGGACCCATTTCTGTACAGGGGAGAGTGTATAACTTGCAGAGTTGAGGAACAGAAGCAACCATCCCCAAAAAGCACACTCCTTTTACCCACTATTTTGGCCTGTTCTTGGCCATCCCTTGCCTACAGGAGTCTAAAGAAAGGAGACCCTTGGAGAAAACCTTCCATGCCTTTGCTGTGTCTGCCAAGTACCACTGAGAGTTGTCACACGTCCTCTAATACTTCTTCAGGCCCCACAGTGCCATTTCCTCTCTGGGGAGGAGGCAGTTGCTGTGCCTGGAGACCCGTGCCCTGGGGGAGGCAGGCTGGTTAACTCTGTGGCAGACAGGCAGCACAATGTGGGATTTGTGAAGCACAAACTGGAAGCAGTTTTGGGTTTATTATCAATGTCTCAGAGCTCGAGGGTTCCATGTTCTTCAGACTATATTCTTGTAACTGATGTGGATTTAGCAACAGGGAAATTCCAGTTTAACCCTTGATCAGAAGAAAACTGAAGATATGTGTCCCAGCTGACGTAACGTGCTGGCTGAAACGACTTAGATAAGTGCCCTGGTAGAGGCTGGATAATGATTAACTGTGCCCGGGTCAAGCCTTGGCAGGACCTCACTTGAAATGCCCCTATTCTTGTAGAGCTCTACAAAGTTGTATATGGCCACTCATCTGGTTTGTTGCTTGCTTTAGGGCAGCGGGGAGGGGAACCTGGCCCCAGGGCAGGGTCTGGGATGTGCTGTGCCCAAGTGGCACCGTGGCTTAGGTTGGTGGGACATCAGCCTGGAGGTCACTGATGGTGATGAATGCCAGCCTTGGGTGGAGGTGGGACATGGGCAACTTCACTGGAGTCCGGTGACAAGGATTTACTGAGCTGGGGTGGAGGAGTTGAGAGCAGGATAAGCTGCCTGGGGTGGAGAACAAGGATACTCTTGAGTTGTTGAACTCTGAACCCCACAAGGAAGGGACAGAAAAGTAGTTTCTGCGGGAGTTTTATCTCACCGGAAGGTGGGTCTGTGCCTGCAGATGCTGCAGTCAGAGTGCTCTTGAGGAAACCATTTTTGATTCCTAAAATAATTATAGTTGAAGCTGTGACCAGAGTGATTGATATCCATCTCCTCTCTCTATGCAGGTTTGAAAAATTCTTCTTGCAAATCAAAGTCTTCTCAAGCTTGTGTCCAGTCTTCATCATAACCACAAGAGTGATTATCTTGCTTCAGGGAATTCTTTAATAATGCTTGTCAAGATATCTTTTGCATGAAGCAGAAAGGGAGCTCTGGAGGCTTTTTGAGCACGTAGCTATAAATGCCTACGTTACTGCTTAAAAACAATTTTAGCTCTAAAGTGCTCCAAATTGTACAGGATTTTTATATTAATAAAATCATAGCCATTTAAATGTTTTTTTTCAGAATCACTGGACAACCTGAGCTGATTTCAAGGGCTGCAGCGGCCACTGGGTTGTGAGTGAATCTGGAGCCTGGTGGCACTGATGCTCAGTTGTGCTTTTTTATCTACTGAGAAGGTGTAAAAACACTTTTCCATCAATAAAAAAAAAAGAATTAAAGATTTTTCTGGTTAATGTTGTATCTGCCTGGTTAGAGGCTCCTGCGTGGCTCCGAAGGGAAGGTATAAGGTTTAAAAAAAGGGATAAAGAAACCTTGGGGATGTGGGGCGGGACACGGAGTGAGGGGCAGGGAATGGTGCCCACTCCAAGGGGGAGAACTCCAGATCATGCATCTTGGGGTGTGGGGTGTAAAGCTGAGCCTGGGGAAAATGTGCGTCAGCAAACTTCAGTTCTGTTTTTCTGTTCTTTATGGCTGACCCATTGGGGAAGTCTTTGCCCTGATTGCATCTCTGGCATTTTTCTGGTCTTACTTAGGAAATGTTTTGATGGTTTACTCAAAACTTCCCTATCTGTGGGAGAACAACACATGCCATCCTAGAGGCTGATCTGGATTTCAGTATCTGGAAACACCTTCTCTGTTTTATCCAGCACCCTTGGGGTTCCAAGATACCCAAGATATGTCACTGCTACTGGCTCTTCAGCGGCAGTTCCCAGCAGACGGGATATCCTGAGAGATATCTTGGGAAGTTTGAAGCACGAAACAAGCCTCATTTTTGCCTTATAAAATACAAGCAAATCTGCTGCAAGCCAGCTGTTTCCTGAGTCAATGAAATATGTGTGGTTTTGGGAGAAAAACTTCTAGAAACAACTTAGGATCCACAGGGCTCGAGTCCAGCTCCTGGCCCTGCACAGGACACCCCAGCAATCCCCCCCTGTGCCCGAGGGCGTTGTCCAAACGCTCCTTGAGATCTGACAGGTTTGGGGCCGTGACCGCTGCCCTGGAGAGCCTGTTCAGTGCCCGACCGCCCTCTGGGGGAAGAATTTTTCCCTGATATCCAGCCTAAACTTCCCCTGGCACAGCTCCATGACTCTTCCTCCCGCCGTCCCGCCGCCGGGGTTTCCCGCCACTGTCGCCCCTCAGGCTCCTCCCGCCTCCCCTCAGGGCGTTCCCGCCTCCCCTCAGGGCGTTCCCACCTCCCCTCAGGGCTGTCCCACCTCCCCTCGGGGCTGTCCCGCCTCCCCTCAGGGCGTTCCCCCCTCCCCTCAGGGCTGTTCCACCTCCCCTCAGGGCTTGTTCCGAGGCCGCGATGTTCCGAGGACGCCGCGCCTGGTTCTCGCAGAGCGTCAGCCCCGGCCCGCGGGGGCTCTGGGGTGAGGGGAACCGGCGGCGGCAGAGGCCGAGGAGGATGGAGAGGGGAACACAGCCCTGTCACCCCTCAGTGGGGTGGAACAGCGTGGGGAGGCACAGCCCCTGTCACCCCTCAGTAGGGATTGAGGAGGGGGGAGCACAGCCCGGTCACCTCTTGATGGGGGCACAGCCTCATCATCCCTCGGCAGGGCAGAGCAGGAGGGGTACAGTCTTGTCACCTCTCAACGGGAATGAGGAGGGGGGCACAGCTTCATCACCCCTCAGTGCGGCAGAGCAGTAGGCACACAACCCTGCCACCCATCAGTGGGGATGAGGGTGGGGAGGGGGCACGACCCCATCACCCCTTGATGGGGGTACAGCCTCAGCACCTTCAGTGGGGATGAGAGGGGAACACAGCCCTGTCACCCCTCATTAATGGCACAGCAGTGGAGACACAGCCCCGTCACCCACTCGGTGGGTCTGAGCCCCTCATGGCAGGCAGAGCATGGGTTTGGCCAGCTCCACCTGTACCAGCACAGCCCATGGTGCTCCCACACTGAGGAAAAGCTCTGAACCCTCAGTGGGGCAGTGGGAGTCCCACAGCCATGGCAGGGCCACCACAGCTCCCACTACAGGCCCCATCCCTGCGGCCCCACAACCAGACAACCCCATTACAGGTCACCCTGAAGTGGGAACCCTCTGGGATGCCCACCCTCCCCTCACCCCTGTCCCCCCACAGTGACCGGAGGAGGAGCACTGACCGACTGGCTGGATGCCGAGTACCTCTTCAGCAGCGATGCCACCCACCCCGACACCCGCAGGTGGGTGATGGAGGCATTTGTCTATGGCTTTAATGTATTTAATGGGAAGTATTTCCTGGATACTGACATCCTATAAAAGTCAGTGGGGTGTTTTTAAAGTCTTGGTACGGATCTACTGGGGTTTTACTGCCTGGTGGAGTCTGGAAACTCACACCCATGCCACACTGAAAGCAGACAGAACAGAAAAAAAAATCCATGTGTTGAGCTGGGCTTAACTCTGATATAAATGACACTAATTGTACTGGTTTCTCACTGCCTGTGAATTATCTGCTGGAAAAACAGGGTCTAAACCAGGGGTGACACCATCCCCAAGGAAGAAACCCAGAGGTAAAAAGCTGGTGTGAGTTAACTCTGAAAGGAACCATGGGGTAAAAATGGCTGGGAAAGGACAGAAATGCTTAATATAAAAGATTAGAGAGTTCCAGAACATTCGTACAAATGTAGGGAAAGACTTCTCACTTCCTCAATATCAGTGAATATTTATTTACTGTCATGTAAATATATTTATGGTAAAGGGTGCTGCGATGCTTCCAGCAGGCTTTGCTAGGCTGGACTAAGTAGCTTCTTTTTAACACACCAGTGCTTAGAACTGGCTTAGATTTTTGGAATCCTTCAGCCACCCGCTCAAGCTGCGCAAGAGGGGAATCCTGAGAAACCCGGAATAACAACATTCCTTCTGCCACACTTCCTGCCTGACTGCGCTGTTCCCCCAGGGGAATTATATATAATTATATATTGTGTAAATATGTATAAAATACATATTCAATCTATATACTTAATTTCTTGGGGAAAATGTAATCATTATCCATACTGTTAAACCCAGCAAACAAGATTTAGTTCCCCTCTAAGGAGGATGGTGAGGACTTGAGCACCCTCCACCCGCCCTTCTTCACTCAGCTGTGTGAGCAGGGATCAGCAGGGAGAAGAATAAATAAAGGAAAGTCAGGTTTTTTCCCTCCCTAAAGGAGTTTCACCTCAAGAGCAGAGTGGGGCCACTTAATCCCTACAAATATGTTTACCCAGTCCATGGTCTCCTTCCTTCAGGCTGGTGGCAGCTGGAATCCCATAGATAGAAAATCACAGAAAGTTAAATGCTTTTGGCAAAAATATCAGAGCAGGCTGGTTTTAATGACAGCATCCCTCTAAACTTTCTGGTTTTGGTTTGTTTCCAGGTTCACCTTTGGAAACCAGCTCTCTTTTTCTCTTCCAGCATACACGAGAGCCTCAGATACTTGGAGGGCAGAGCCACAGTCTTTCACTCCCGTTACCTCTCAGCATGTGAGCGCGCTGGCACCACTGAGAAGCCTTCAGTGGTTCTGGGCCACTTCATCCTGCCCCCTGCTTGCCTGCAAGAAGGTCAGAGAAAAAAAAAATCCATCCGGTTCTCCCGCCAGGGGGTTCCCCCATGAGCTCAGCCTTCTTGCAAACCAAGACCATCAGTTACTTCTCTGCAGGGAGGGAACTTCCTTCTGCTCTAGTGGCTCTTCCTCCCCAGAGGCAGCTTATGCTCCGTCTATTATCACAGAATCACAGAATGGTTTGGGGTTGGAAGGGACCTTAAAGCTCATCTCATTCCACCCTCTGCCATTGGCAGGGACACACCTTCCACTAGACCAGGTTGCTCCAAGCCCTGTCCAACATGGTCTTGGGCACTTCCAGGGTTGGGACAGCCATAGCTTTTCTGGGCAACCTGGGCCAGGGCTTCACCACTCACAGTGAAAAATTTCTGCTGAATCTCTAATCTAAGACTACCCTTTAGCAGCTTAAGGCCATTCCCCTGTCCCTCCAGGTGCTTGTTCCAAGTCCCTCTCCAGCTCTCTTGGAGCCCCTTTAGGCCCTGCAAGGGGCTCTCAGGTCTCCCCGGAGCCTTCTCTTCTCCAGGCTGAACACCCCCAGCTCTCCCAGCCTGGCTCCAGAGCAGAGGGCCTCCAGCCCTTGGAGCATCTCTGTGGCCCCATCTGGACTTGCTCCAGCAGCTCCACATCCTTCTGATGTTGGACCCCAGAGCTGGAAGCAGCTCTGCAGGTAGGGTCTCACCTGAGGGGGCAGAATCCCCCCCCTCCTCTGCTTCCCACACTGTGGGATCAGCCCAGGGCACAGGGGGTTTCTCGGTGCCAGCTCACACGGCCGGGGCATATCCAGCTCCTCCTTCCCCAACACCCCCAAGTCCTTCTCCTCAGGGCTGTGCTCAATCCATCCCCCCAGCCTGGATTTGTGCTTGGAATTGCCCTTGCCCAGAGGCAGGACCTTGCACTTTGGCCTTGTTGTCCTCGGAGGCACCTGCAGGGCCTCGCTCAGGCAGCAAGGCCACAGTCCCGTTATTTGATACTCTCAGTCATTTGTTTTGTTGTTCTTGGCAGAAATCAGAAGGAAAATCGGCTGTTTTATTTGGGAGCAGGTGGATGTCCTTGAAGAAAAGGTAAGATGAGAAATTCATATTACAGGTGTGGCTTAAAAAAAATAAGAGTTGTATCAACTCCAGGGAGCCTGGTTTTCATCCCAGACCCTCAGCCCACATACAGGATCAAGTCTCGTATAAACAGCTGGAGGCACAGCGACCACAAAATGATGGAGTTTTTAATACTCCGTAAAGTCAACAACAAAACCTCTACCCTGGATTTCCAGAGGGTTGACTTTGGTCTATTCAGGACACCAGTTTGGAAAGTCCCTTGGAAAGCTGACCTTAAAAACAAAGGGACTGATGAAAGCTGGACATTCTTTAAGATGGGCCTGGCTGAGCAGGGAGCTTTCAGAGAACTTAGGGGAAAAAAAGGAGGGTGTGTCATCTTGGGAAAAAGGGGCAGACAACTCAGGAAGTGTTTAAGGAAGTAGTTAGATCAGGCAGAAAGAACATTAGAGGCAAAAACTTGGTTATAACTTAGTCTGGCCATGTCTGTAAAGGATAATAAGTGTTTTTTTTATAAATACATTAATAACAAAAAGAGGGCCAAGGAAAACCTTGCTCAGACAGATGCCCAACTCACCGTTCCAGGGACTCTGATCACCACAGGCAGAGCTCAACCCTTTGGTGCAGCATTTTCCCTCTCATTTGTGCCCCCTCTCCTTTCAAAGCAACTTCCCAGCACTTTTGAAGCGAAAATGTGCTTAGACCTAAAATTAAACTCTAAATTACACTTGAAATCACAGCCCTAACAATTCCATTCCTGGACCGTGTCCCAGGTGCTCTGGGGGGGACCAAGGGCACCATTTTAACTCAACCCTGCGCTGATTTTCACAGCCCAAGGGAAATCCAACAGAGGAAGCAGAGGCGGCAAGAAATGGCTGCGAGGAAGAACCTGAGGGGGAAGCGCTAGACCTGGACAAGAGGTATTTTCCCACCCTGGATGGTGGATTTTGGACACACCCCCCAAATTCCAAGCGATCCCAGTGCACAGGAACTAACACACAGAATGTTTCTTGCCCCCACCCTGATACAGCAGCGAAGAAACAGGCTCTGAAGTACCTTCCCAGGGGGAATTTCCATACCGTGCCCTCCAGAAATACCCAGTGAATAACATGGTGACAGGTAAATACACCTGGAAAGGCCTGTGGATGGAGGGGGGGAGCAGAGACCCCAGTGAGCCTGTTTTCCCTGCACAGGCTACACCTCCTCCCGGGACATGAAGAAATATGAAGGGGAGCTCCACGACTTCATCCCCGGCATGTCAGGGTACACGGCCTACTGGGTTCAAACCAAAATTAGCATTTACTGTGAGAGGAAGACCAAAATGAAGAGGAAATTGTAATGCATAGGTGGCTGGAGCAGCAAAAACCTCCCAATTTAAGAGCTGCCAGAGAGGATTTATAAATTATCCGACTGCAGCTCAACATGTTCAATGTGTATTTAAACACTTGCTAAATTTACTGCAAATATTTTAAGTAACTACCTAAATTTCATAACAAACACAAATACAGACATTTCTCTCCAGAACACAAATCTTTTGTCATTTTATTCCTACCAGGAGGGGGGGTTTAAGCTATGGCTGTGAACAGTTTTCCTTGGAGGGACACATCGAGGTCTCCTTGCTTTTATTTTATTAAGTAACTGTAAGACTTCTCCCTTTCATTTAAGCACTTAGAAGTGACCAGTGGGGTTATAAAAAGCAGCTTTAATTCTGGCACAGCCTGACCCTGGGCTGCCTGCTCAGGGAAGCACATGTTCCCACAAGCTCCAAGGAGCCACCATGGTCATCCTCTCCCATGGCCCCAAAAGTAGGAGAGCCTCTAAAATACCACTTTGATTCTCACACCCCAAGCAGCCAGAAAAGAACCCAAGAAGATGCCATAAACAGGAAGGTGCTGAGTCCTCTGCACCTGAGAACCCGCCCTCCCTCATCCCCAGGGACACAGGTGTCCAAAGACCAGGCAGGCTGAGGTGGTTTCCTCACGTTTATTGGAAAAGCGACACACAGGGATGGACTCAGAGCGCTCCTCGGGGCGTCTTGAAGTTCATCCCCACTGTGGGCTGTGTCACCTGCAGGTTGGACAGGCTGCCAAAGTCCTGGAAAACAACATGGGAACAACAGGATCAGCAACAGGATCCTGCCCAGTGACCACTGAGGGTGGGGAGCAAGAAGGTGCTGTGGCAGCACCATGGGGGAATTCAAGTCTCCTAAAGAGGGGGAGATCACCCTACTCTGGAGATCAGCTCAATGGTGAGCGAATCCTTGGAGGGGAGGGCAAGGAGCACACCCACCCTGCCCATGGCAAAGCCACCATGTCTCTCCCTTCCCTCCCAAAAGCCATATAGGAATTAATCTGCTCAAGGACCCAGGGTAGAGGGACCCCCACCATGTTCCCAGAGTGATGGAGCCTTCAGCCAACATGAGTGGGAGCAGTGCCAAGGACATGCCACCGACCATGCAGGGGATAAATGAGGCCACTCACCAGAAGCTTCAGCATTTCCTTGGTGTCTGGGTCCACTTCAATGATCTCCTGGTCAAGGGCAGAGACCTGGGGACGGAGGGGAGAGAGAGATGTGGTTTGATAAAGCCCTGCTACCCCCGGGTGTCCCCACAGCCACTCCAGTCCCGTCCCACCACAGACGGGATCTCTCTGCCCACTGTGGGGAAGGGCTCAAGCAGCAGAGCCAAGAGGACCACAACGGAGCCCAGCTCTCTTGACAGAAGATGGTGAGAGGCCACACTATGAGAGAAGAGCCTGTTTCATGGCAAATCTTTGGAAAACCAAGGCCCAGTATGCTCCAGGCCGAGGCTGCTGAGGAGCTGGGGTTAGGCCCGCAACTGCACCGGTCCTGGCCATGACCAGTAGTAGCCCACAGTGTGTCCCACCTCCACACCTACACTCTCCTGCTCTTTAACCCCAGAGAAACCTCCTCCAGCCCTCTCTGGACCCCAAACCTCCATCGCCATGGGTTTCCTTCCCCAAGAGCTACATCACACCAGGATTTTTCTAAGAAACAGTGCAAGTTCAGCTGATACTGCACCAACAGCTGCGGTAGGGATGCTCCTTCCCTGCTTGGAGTCCCCTTCCTGAAACCTTTGGATACAAAGGTAACCACACCCTGGCACCACCAGGTTTATGCAGCACAGAAACCAGCAGCTCTGCCAGGAGCCCACCAGGGAGATCTGGGAGAGGGGTGAGATGCACTGTGCCTGAAGGCCACTGGATTTGGGAGCAACGAGATCAAGCCCCTAGAACACAGGAAATGCTCTTGGAGCACGTCACCCAGGTGATAGTTGGGACCTTTGGAGCACAGGGCTTAAGGGAAAGGGGTGCCACCAATTCCTCCTCTCCAGCAACACTGGCTGCAGGGCATGTTTCCAGCCGCTCTGAAATACCCTGCTGCCTCCCAACAAGTTGGTTTTTACCAAAATGCAAGAAACCAGCTGCCCTTCCCACCCCAGGGAGTAGGTTTGGAGGGATCCACCTCAGCCCCCTTGATCCAAACCCTCCCTGAGCTGAGGGGTTTTTTTGAAGGAATCTGGACCTATTGATGGAGATCAGCTAAGGTAGGAGGGAGCACCAGCAGAGCCTCACCTCAGGGACGTAGTTGTCCCTTCTCTCCCTCTCCTCCTCCTGCAGTTTGATGGAGATGCCGCGGACGGGTCCCCTCTGGATTCGCTTCATCAGGTGGGTAACATACCTGCGGGGACACGGGGGTGTCCAGGGCTTCCCCGGGGCTCCCGCCACCCTTCTTCACACCCCCAACCGCGGCGGGATGAGGAGATGGAGCTGTCACCGCCCACCCCGGCGATGTACCGCCACCTCCGGGGGACATCAGAGACGAAGTGTCCGACAGCAACAGGGTTTGGGGGGGGACAGGGACCCCCCCAAACACGGGAAAGCTCTCGCGCTCCTCTCCCTGCACTATCGATGACCCGGCCACGGGCGGGACCGTGATCACTTTCGAATGCAGGGCCTGGCCCTAACCTCCCCCCGGGACACCCTCAGTGCCCAAACCCCACCCGGAACCTCCCCGTGCCCAAACCCCCTGGGACACCCTCAGTGCCCAAACCCCACCCGGAACGCCCCCGTCCCTCACCCCGCGATCTTGTTACGCAGCTTCTTGCTGGGGATGATGGCGATCTCCTCGCACACGCGCTTGTTGGTGTGGAAGTCATTCCCCAGGCGCGTGTAGTACTTCTCGATGATCACCCGCGCCGCCTTCTTCACCGTCTTCGTCCGGACGCGTCCCTGTGCGGGGCCGGCACCGGTCAGGCCCCGCCGAGCCGGGGCCCAGCGCCTCTCCACCCAACGCCCCCTCCCCCGGCCATCCCGGCGCCCGCCGCCCCCCGCAGCCCCTCGCCCCGCTCCCCCCGGTCCCCGCGCGGTCCCCGCCGCCGCTCCTGCCTCAGCCCGGCGGGCGGATGGTGACGGATGGCGGGGCCCGGACCCACCATGTCGGCGGCAGCCGCGCAAAGAGAGCGGGTGGAGGCGGAAGGCGCCGGAAGCGCACAGCACACACAGCGCCCCCTGGCGGCTCGGAGGGTGTCCACAGGGGCGCCGTGGGCGTGGCCGCGGGGCGTGGCTATGGCTGGATGGGCGGGGCTGAGGCCCGGGGGCTCCGCAGGGTCCCAGCGCCGCCCGCCCCGCTGGGCCCCGGGGCCGCACCCAGACCGCCCAGCCCCTCTCCATGTCCCCAGGGCGGGATGGAGCCGCCCAGGAGGCGGGTCTGGAGCACAAAAACATCCCAGGATAGGCCGCGAAAGACACAGAGCACCCACAAACTCGCATCACACAGCCCCAAAGGAGGGGTGACCACACCCGGGTGGCTGCAGAGTTGAAAGGGGGCACAAGGAAGGAGCCCAATGCCTTACGTCCCCCACCCCAAACCCTCCAGGGACATGGGGCACCTGAGGTTACCCACTGTGGGCATCCCCCACTGCACCCCAAGTCCTACTCAGCCCTCCCCACCCCCACAGAAAGGAGCCCTGGGGTCCCTCTCCCACCACACAGCCATGCAGGGTGTCACACCTGTACCACCAAGGGTGGGAGCACAAGATCTCTTCTGATTAACCTCATTAACTTGCTGCTGCAATTAAAGGAGCTCCAGTTAGAGCTCAGGGATTCCAGGACCACCTCTGGTAAGTGGGATCTAAAAATGCATCTCCCAGCAGAGAGAGCTCCCTCCCACCAAGTCACCCACAGCATCCATAACTCCATCCATACCCCCTCCTCCTACCTCTGGAAGAGACACCACAGTCTTCCCAAGTTTAGAGACACCCCCACCCCCCCCAAAGTAGAGAGCACAAGAAAGGGCTTTTTTTTTTTTGCTGCAACGTGTTTATTATGTGCCAAAAACTACACCACAGCTTACTCCACGCGTCTGTAGGAGAGTGCAGTCTTGCCTGCATATACTACAATGAGGTAGAGACTTCACAAACAGCTTCACAAAACCCCACAAAGAGCAGCTGGGATATGCAACAATGCAACATCAGCTCAGCAGGAAAGAAAAAAAAAAATCATCATAATAAAGAGGGAGAAATTATGACACTGGTTCTTTGGCACACAGCTTCCGATAGAGGGGGAAGTAACAAAAAAAAAAATAATCGGCATAATTAAAGGTCTCAAATCCCAGCAGCAGCATTTCAGTCGACTGCACTGTTACTCCAAACATCTCGGGAAGGAATGGAAAATTACTTGTCCCCTCTAAGAGAAAGGGCTCCCAGGAACCTTAATCGTCCACCGAAACGCAGCCCTTTTTTAGCTTGTTACAAAAAGAAAAGGTTTAAGTCCTGTGACTTCGTGTGATTAAAAACCTCTATCAACCCCCCGTAAGTGCAACTTAAAAAAGTGCAACAAACTATTTTAAAACTATATACAGCAGCTCAGAGATCATCATCCCATCCAGTTTCAAATCCAAAAACAAAAACAAAGCCCAGCCTGTCCCGTTGCAAACCTCCTGATTTACAACGTCCCGCCAGCAGCCCCCAGACACAAATTGCAATAATGTTAAAAGCTGCCAGGAAAGAAAAAAATCTCTCGTTTCAAACGACTTAAAAACTGTTTTTAAGAGTGTAAAAAGGAACTCGTAAAAACCCTCGAGCGTAAAATATGAAATATGATTTGGTTTAAATGAAGAGCAAAGTCTCCTTTGTTGTTACAGTAAAAAACGCCAGCTGAACACCCAGGTCACGCCGTCCAGGTGGGGGTAAATGAATGGAAAGGCACTGTATGGCAACGGCAAAACAATGACCAATGAGACCTGCGCTCTCTCCACCAGTATTGCAAGGAATGTAAAAAAGCGCCTTTAAAAAATAAAAAAACTGAGGCGGAGGCGCCTGCGGCGACACCCCCGCGACACGTGGCCCTTGGTTGGTTGGGTTTTCTTCATTTTCAATTTTTGCTTCTCGTCAGCAAACCAGGAACCAAAGTCTGGGAACTGCAGAATGGCTTGAGGGGCGCTCCCCCCCACTCAAAACACCCCCAAACAAACCCCAACAAAACTCACTGTGCATTAGTGCA